TGGCATGAAATTGGCTTTAGATATCTATGGACTGTGTTCTCTCTGTGCTGGTACTCAAGAACGTTCACAATGTCTTAAATCGTAAAATGTTTTAAGTCCGCTTTTTCTCTAAAAACGATGGAGGCGCTATTTATCAAGCTTAATGATCGGGTCCTTTGTCGATAGAAGCAGTTCATTTTTAAATTTGCTTTATTTTGACGAGGACTCGTTCTCCCACGCTTTAGTAGTCATCATTAAAACAACTGCTTCAAATACAACTTGATTCACCCTTAACAGATAGCAGACGTTGACACCTGACGAGTTGTCTGCCGAAATGCATAATGTCTTAAATTTCTAAAACAGTTCTTTTCCGAACTCTTGATTTTTTCTTGATTTTTTCTTTGTTTTTTCTTGTTAGTTTTTTCTTGGTTTTATCTTGGGTTTCGTGGTTTTTTATTTGGTTTCAGTCCATTCACCATGGCAATTGCTCTCTTTAAGGCGATATTCAAATTTGTCACCACGACAAAGTCTATGTTTTAATTATTATTGGATTGTTTAGCGTAAACTATTAGCATTGTTTTCCATAGTTAACATGATTTTTAACTAAGCCTAAACAAACGCTTATAAAGAAACTCTACATTTTCTACCTAGCTCCTAGCATAGTGGAAAATGTGGAGTTAAAAAATTTCTCAATTGTAAACAAACACTCAGTACTCCGCATTCCACATTTTCCACAATGCCATAAAAATAAGACAATTATGAGCTATTGGTTTGTTTTGTCATGAAAATGTGTTCTTATATATAACATTTTGGTTGAATTTGGCAAAGGAAATTTCGTGTTTACGATTCAAATTTCCACCAAGATAGAGAATATCTTTGTACTTCACTCCTTGGGGATCGGCTGCAATTCACCTATAGTTAATAAAATTTGTCAAAGTTATGTAAAATGTTGCTTTCCTAAATTCCTAATGATTGTTCCTGAATTCCAAATAACTTGATTTTATTTATCAATTACTTTTTACCATATATTCATTTTCTTTTTTTTTTGAATAATGACTAAAAATTTTCTGTTTTTGTTTTCAGCTAAACCAAACGTGATAATTAATTGTTCAACTCCTCTGGTTGTGAGTAAAGGTGATAATGTGTCATGTGTATGTATAGGTGAAGGAGGAAACCCTCCTGCTAATATCACATGGTATGATAAAGATAACAACATAATTGATGATGTTGGAGTTGTAAGTAAGACATTAGTAATCACTAATGTTACATTGAATGATGGTGGAAATTACAGATGTAAAGCACAAAGTTATAATGATCCACGTTTTAGAGATGAAAAATCTATTGAAGTAACAGTGAAAGCTACTTGTAAGTTTGTAAGACAGCATTTCAGATCTCATTATAAACGTTTGTGTAGAATATTTAATTTAATTTTCTTCTTTACAGATCCACCACAACAAACCATTATTACCATCAGTCCAATGTCAGTGAAAAAAGGTGAAAATGTGACAATAACCTGTGAATCAGATGGTTATCCTGAACCAACCTACACTATTTATCATAATGGTGCAGTTATCAGTAATAAAAAGACATACATCATTAATTCTCTCAACTTCAGTAATGCTGGTTCATATCGTTGTGAAGCAACAAATAAGCTGGGAAATGATTTTTCTGATGTTAACAATCTTATTATCATCAAAGGTAAAATTAAAATGCTACTTTCATCAAAGGTGAAATTATCAACTGCTAAGTGTCACGAATTTTTCGCGTTTGTTTACGTTTCAAACGTCACGTTTGTCAGACGAAACGTCGAGTTTCATCTTGTAAGCGTTACGTTTGTTCAAATCGCGGATTTCTAAGTTTGAATCAGCTCTTTCTTATATTATATGATCAATTATCAAACTTTGCAAATTGCCTAAGGTACACAGATGTAATTTTCAGTTGCTACAGCATTTTATCATTTTAAAATCGTATAAACATGTTAATCACATGACCAAAACCTGTTCAATTTGTTCCTCAAACTTTAAACTTTCCTAAGCATACATTACGTTTCTAATTTGAAACCCGACTTTCACATGACAAACGTGACGTTTGAAACGTGAACAAACGCGAAAAATTCGGGGCAGTTACCATTTGAACGCAAATGATAATAAAATCTTACTTCATCAATTTTTGAGATAGATGAGTTTCACTCTTTCATTTGATTTGTTCTTTTTGGTCAATTATTATCATTTTTTCGATAGATATTTCTTTCATTCAGTATTCTGTCAGCATTTTCATCTCTTTGACATTATAATTTGAGTTGATTTCCAATGAATGTGTTAACATATGAATCTCCAACATCATTTTTCCTTTCAAAATATTCATCTACTGATTGCAACACGAAAGGTAATTTATTTACAATGCTTTAAAATCATATTTATGTTTAAAATACTATTAGCTCTTTCTGTTCAATTTGCATGCGCTACCTGAGATGCTAAAAATCCTTAAAGGAAAATTTAAGCAAATCGCTCGTTTATAGCAAACTTTAGCTCTAGCCACACAATGCAATTAACATCTCGACCTTTTCCTTAGACTTAATGGAAATGTTTAATTCAATCTATCCAATGCTCAATCAAAATGCTCCAATCTTGTTATCATATGTATTTTAGTATTGTATACAGATAAACTCTTTTGATTTTTTTCCATATTTTTAAGTTCTATGCTTCTTCTCTAGACAACGTTCTTTGTGATGACCAAAATGAGAGAATAAAACAGTACAAAACAGAATGGTACATTATTTTAATAACTTTAACATCTGGAATTATCGTTGGAATTTTCGTCTCTATTTTATTTTTTTCAATATCGTCAACATTGGTTTAATAAAAAACGTCAACAATTTCAATCTCCGTCTGAAGTTAGGAAAAATTCTGTTGATACAACTTATCAGGAATTGGATTTATCAAAAATGAATGAAGAAGATAATTATCAATCATTGAGACCAAAGGATGATACAGTTGATACAACTTATCAAGAACTGGACATATCGAAAAGGAATATAGAAGATAATAATTATGAATCTTTGCAAAAAAATAATGAATCGGAGTACGAGATAGCCGACGAAAAAAGAAATTATGAGAACAGTAATTTGTTTTCAAGAAAATCATAAATTTATTTTAAACATGTGTTTATAAACATTTTCCATGTTGTAAAGTCACAATGGTGCTTTTACGAACATTTACATTTTCTGATAAGATTTGAATTTTGCATGTTTTCCTCCCTTTGGAGCTGCCAATACTTTATGATTTCCAGAAGGAAGCCATTTTTGGATAGGAAAATACACTGGTCATTCTGACTCATTCATTGGTTGTTTTTGATAACAGTGTATGGCAATACTGTTTTTGAATAAGTATTTTTTATTTTATCTTACTATACACCTGCTTTCCTGACTTGTTTCCTGTGTATATCAAATTGTTTAGAACAAGATCACGAAAAGGCTCTGAAAAAGCACGAAATCTTATTTCTGATGAACCTAAATCGTAAATTTCAAAATTTGTCTTTGATTAGGGAATACCTTGAGATCCATCTAGTTAAGAGAAGACCATAGTTGGATAGTTAAGAACACCTTAAGTGATCTACTATGGAGCGGCAATCGTAACAAAAATTATTTACAGTTTATATGGTCTCATTGTTAGTACAGGGTTAGTGGGTTGTTCGACAACACAAACAGAGCCTCAAAAATGCGGGGACCTTTAGAAAATTTACAGTCTTAATACTTCAAATATAAACAAATGTACTGGAGAATCCCAACTGTTTAATATCGCAATGCTCCAGACATACAAAAACCTCCATCATCCGGGAGTAACAATAAAACTTTTAACGTTTTGATATTTCATTCTCAATCTGAATGTTAAAACAATAAGAGCAATAACTTTAACTTTATAAATCAAAATTTCAAAAATTATTATTAATATACATCTTGAAATTTGAGTTATTATTGTTATGTTGTTGTTTTCCAACATCAAAGTCTTTTTCACAAATGAAATTTTCATTAAGCAAGTTGGTTAATAATGCAGCGGTTTAATCCAAAAATCTCATTGGATAGCAGTTCAGTGGAAAATTTCCACTGATCCGAAATGATATTGATGGATAAACGTGTATATAGCTTGTAGCTGATCAGTTCAGCTGGGCCACGCTTATACATCTCGGATTCCCGTTGTAAGAAAAATATAAACTATATAATGAAAATTTCAATGGTTACCAAATCAATGGGAAAATTAGACTAATCTAAACATTCTAATTAGCGTGCTGCCTGCTGGATTTGCCAGGGCAGGATCATGCACACTTACACATCTCGAAGTCCCGTCTGGTCTCGTTGCACCAACTTTTTTCTTTTCTATTGTTCTTTTTTATCGTTGTGAAGCCATGATTAAACAGGAAAGTTTAAAATCTCACTGTCAACGAAGGTAAAAGGACGAATTTTACTCTTTCATTTGTTTTTGTTGATCAAATATCATTCTTTTTTTTGTATTTCATGTCATGTTCATCTTAAAAATAATAATGGTTTTCACCAAAGTTGCTTGACTATGTATACTTTCTATTTAATAGATAATGATCTTGAATGTATTGATCCATAATTAGGCCGGTACAAACTGAACAATGTTGTTTTTAATTTGACTTATTTACAGTTAGCTTAACGGTAAATATAAGTCGTAGATACTTCTGTTGCATTTTCATCTCTTTTGACTTCATGATTTTAGTTGATGTAAGAACGAGTTGATTTCTGTGTATTTAGCATTTGTCGTTTGATTTTTTGCCATAACCTGTGAATTTCTTTAACAACTGTATCTCCGAATTCGGTAGTTTTTTTATTGATTTTAGTAAGTTTTGGAGCTTGGCTTGGTAAATTACTTTCAGAAAGTCTGGTCACGGTGGGGCACACTGATTAAATACATCTATTTTATTCAATGTATTTTGGTTCAATGATCACCACTTAGCATTCCAGTTATATCATTTCAATAAAATACGCCATTGAATTACCATAGTGAATATATTGAGTGAATATATGCACAGAAATATGAAATACGCCCATTAAAACTGCATAATCAACAACGACATCACGTACGTCAAACGTTGCGAAGCAGGAAATTGAGTCTTTCTGAAATTCTCACGGAAGAAAACCAAATTACATGGGTATGTTACATTTTGCTGTATTTTTAGTGGAATAGCGTACTTGTCCTTGTTGTCTTGAATGAAAATATTGTTTTGCTGTAAAGTTTTGGCGTAAATATTCATGTAATTCGACAGGCGCTATTGAAACGAATCTCTTATCGAGAATTCTTGGTCCGAACAAAAATTAGCCAATACTAAAATTGTGTTTGTGAAGGAAGACAAATTTTAGTCTGAATTCGAGAAAATCTTTAATAATATGGTACACAAGTGTATACGTTAAATACAACAGCTTTTGGTATTGATATGCTTTGATGAAGATCTCTTTACCTTAACGTCGCTTTAAAGAAAGCTTTTTAAGAATTTTGATGCATTTTGAATTTCATAATTTTAAAAGACCAAGACGAAACACTACATTACATACTAAATGAGTATGTTGGGTTTCATTTCTTCTTTCATTCTTGAAAATATTTTTGGACTTCCTGTTGTATTGTTTAGTAAGGGGGTATTTATTTGAATCCGGAATGACTTTCGATCCGGAATGAACTCATTCCATTTCAAAAGAAATTCTCTTGTATCTTTACATGAATCCGGAATAAGACAACTCGATCGGGATCGAGTTCATTCCTATTTTCATTCCGGATTGAAACTTAGTTTTAATTGACAAATTGAGTTTCATTCTGAAATAATATTATGATTAATGACGATTAATGCATGCGCCAGCGTAGTGTCTTCTGGCAAATTTAAGCTCGTGAGCAAATAAGGCGGCTAAATGGACTAAAATGAGTGCGAAGAAAAGCAACAATTAGTTTCATGCAAGTGTTAAGCTATATCAACGCAGGAGCAACAGAAAAAAAGGGTTGTTGTAATGTTTATGTTCGCCATCTTCAAATTTCGAAATTCCCGCGAAATGTCAATCGTTGTGTTGATTTCCCATGTAAACACGGTTTGACATCACGTTTCGTCATTTTTGATTCATGTAAACACCCCCTTACCAAACAAATAAAGGCCTGTTTACATGGGAATAGGGTAACCATACTTGCATGGCTATATTTTTGTGTAGGGTGATTCTACCATTGACAGGTTTGTGTATTTCTATTAATGACAGCAACATCAGCATGTTGTAGACATGATTGCAGATGAAACATTTTGGCTTCCTTGAGGCATATTTATAAATATCCATAATTCAGTCTAAGACCTCGGAAAATTGTTTCAAATTCATTTTCATTATATTATATTCATTATATTACATTCACAATGAAGACTTAACATTCATAGAATGAAAATCTTCTTTGCCATCTCGAAAACTTCCTTGTAGATGGTGGATGGGTTCTAGTTTTATTGTTTGTCTCTGTAGAGTCATGTAGCACATTTTGTGTATAATTTTATGCTTTGGAAGCAATTTATTTTTCCTGATATGCAAATATTTTGAGTAGATATGATCTTAACATAGCCCTACTGAAAGGGATTACCTTATCTCAAACGTTTTATAGTTTATGAAATAAAACATCATAATCCAACTATAGTGGTAACCTTATCAATTGATATGGAAACCCTAACCCTCAGGGTTACCTTAGCACACATGTAAATGCTGCATGTAAAAGAATTTGACATTGGGTAACTTGCTTGCTAATGTAACCCTTCTGCTAGGTTACCCTACCTCCATGGGTCTAGCAATCACTATATTTTATCATGAATCATACTGTAAACATTTGCCCATAAGCCTTGAACTTATATAATTTTGTATGCTCTCTTCTTGGGCTTATTTATGTGGATGGAATGCTTAGATTATATTGTATGGCAGTCATCAGCACAGTATACATAACACAGTCTTTATTGACAATAGTATGAAAATTCAACAGACAAAACATTAAAACATAGTAAAAGTATGTAAACAGTTTGCAACTACATTAATTCTTATCCTGTAATAAATAAATGCTTGTGGGCTTTTCTGTGGACGAATTGAAAACTAAACTAACTTCCAGTTGCCATAGTTACAAACAGTTAGTAAAGGTAAAAATCATTCAAAGTAAAGTGTTTTAGTTGAATAAAGAAGAATTTCTGTTCACTATTACTTAAGAATTACACAAAATTACTTTCCTGTTCAGCTAACTGTCTTTTCCTAAAGTTCATTTTGCTAAAACAATGTCAATTCTCATCTATAACCAATGTTTCTTTTGTAGTTTGTGTATTGACAGAAATACTTTAATTACATAGTTAAATGATTTAAATTTCAAGTTTATTCTGTTAAGAACATTAGGAAAGTTAGCCCTCAAATTTGGTTGTGCCATGTAAATTTCACAATCTAGTGATCTCTTGAATAATTTACATAGCAGAACGAAAGATACGCCATTGGTCACATAGGATAATTGTAATGTAAGGTGTAAATGTATCCAATGATTCACAATCTTCAGGAAACAGTATTTATGTTAATCTTATGCTTTCCCAATCAAGTCAAGAAAGAAAAATGTTTACTGTGTTTGCACAGGTTTATGTAAACTGAGGAGACCTTTTGGAGAACTTGAGATCTGATCAGTGCAAAGCAGGTTTTGCACCTTCTTGAGTATTCTCACAAAGATCTCTGAGGTTTGCATAAGATTTTCGAGGTTTGCGTTTTAATTTTCCACAAAGTGTATTAATGAACGGTTTGCAAAATCTCTTTGATTGATTGTGGTTGAGCTACGATCGATTTACCCAGGCTTATGCAAACTCAGCCTTTTACCAATCAGCGCACATGTTTTACTGTTTTTATTTTATAAAGAAAATTAAAACACAAAAAATGTACTGCAATGATAAAGATATTTCTGTAGTAGAATTAATGGAGCATATTGCTACGCAAAATGTTGCCCATTTACGAGTAAAAGTTACTATTTTGATATGCACCATGTTTAGTTCTGTGTACCTGAGATGGGCAGCGCTGACTATATTTACTACTAACCATGTTAACTCATGATTTTATTTTCAAAGATCATAAGCATTAAAATTCATCACTTAATTTTTTAGTGAAAATGGTAAAGACAAATTTAGTATTTTCGACTGTTACATTGATCACATTTCTTGGTCTTGCCAAAGGTATTTAACTTCAAATATCCATTTCTTTTTTTTACTTAAAAGATTTTTGATGTATTTTTATTTGTTGTTGTAGTAATATTTATTTTTTATTCACAATTTTGAATAGAACCTGAATTAAGAACATCAATTACTTTTGTTTTATTAGTAGAAGATGTATTTTTTTCCTAAACTATCTTTTTATCAGTCATAGATATTAGCTAAATTTCAATTTCAGGAGCAATAACATCTCCACCTGATGGTCAAAGATTTGTATTTTTACCTCGATCTTTTCACGATATAACTTGGAGATTTAATGTTACTGAAAACATTACTTTATGGGCTTGGAGTTTTACACCTCGTGGTTCATCTTCCTCTCAACAAATTGCAAGAATATTTGCTAATAGCGAAACACCCCAATACTTTCCATCACCTTTAACATTTGAAGTTTTTAAAGTTTTTAAACATGGAATTTTGTTGCTGAATAATTTAAATCAAAGTTACAATGGTGAATATACATTTACTCTTGTAACTTCTACTGCTACTTCATCAAAAGTAAATGTTTATGTTGCTGGTAAGTTTTAATTATTTCAATCTTTCTTGTATTGTATGCATTGTTCTGAGTATTTAATGGGGGAAACTTGGCCTGAATTATTTTGCCGAAGAAACGTTTACAACTGTTATTGTGTCGTTGCAAACTTTCTTTTTCGGAGTTGGCCTTTAGGAGATTTGACAATGCTTTTGCAGTTCATGCAATTTTAACAATAAGTGGCAATACTCAAAGTGGAGACCCAAAATATGATACATCAGTCCTTAAGTCATTTGGTTTAGATGTTGAAGTCTTTAAACATTCAACTCTAATGTTAAAGAATTAAATGAAGATATGATCTTCGCACTTTGCTGGACAATTTAAGCAATTGTCTCATGCACCTAAAAAAAATTCAGGTGACTCAACGGGATAGTCTCGTCAAAGGAAAAATATTCTTTTTCAAGGTGTTCAACGACCTCTTTGACGTCTCATTAAAAAGCACCATGCAGTTTTGTTCTCAATATTAATTGAAGCGTTGCTCTTTTGAAACCTAAGGAATACAGAGTAAACAAAAGAATGATAGCACAGCGCTATAACCAACAACTACAAACAATAACGACCTTATCTAACAACATCGTATTGTGAATACAATTAATAACCATGTAATAACCATGTATTGATTAATAACCAATTAATAACTATGTATTAACCTTATTAACCTTGTTATTAACCTTGTGAATACAGAGTACTTGGCACGTCCAAAAAGAGATCTCTCTGTTTCGTTTGTAGATAAAAACAATTTTCTTAAATTCATAATTTCTTTGAAAATTCATTTGAAAGAAATATTGACTCTTTCTTTTCATGTGTTGAAGATACACAATTATGTGCCTTACTAAGCGTTGCCAATTTAACTTTACCTCTTAAATTCGAGAAAATCTTCTCGACAACTGGCGAAGAACTATTTTTGTAGTGTGTTTTCTTCATTGCTTACAGTTTTTCGAGGCTTTCATCCAACTCATCAGCCAAAATCACCTTGTCGCCTTTAAAAGAAATACAAATAATGTTGAATACCGTTCTTTTTCCTTGAGCCCATGTCGTGGCTTTTCAACTCATTTTCAGACTCCAAGTCAGCGTAATTCAAATGGAAGCACAGGTTATGAAAACACTATTTGGTATGACTTGCATGTTGTTCAATGGCCAGCTTGCTTCAATAATGTCTTCAGTATTTGTTTTGTTGTTTTGTCTCCACTATTCCTATGTTGAATTGTTTTTGTTATACCTGTTTACTTATATATGTTCCGCTCGTCGTTTTACTCTTTTTATTCGTTTTACCAATATCCTTATTTGACTTGGCCACAAACTTTCGTAAGTGAAATCAGTAAGTGAAATAAGTCAATGAAGTTCTTTCATCACTTTTTTATACTTCAACTGTCTGAACTTTCGTTGATTTCAATGAATGGCAATCTTCTATTTGCCACACCAAGTACACGGTCAGAAGCATAGCGATGGTTTCTATGAATTTTGCGACTAGTCTTACAATGAAGATGGTAAAGGTCACTTACCAGTCTCATGCAGCATTTTTAACTGCGTTCGATATTAACCACGCTAGACTTTGCATTTCTTGCTTGTTCAATCCACTTAATTTCAGACGTTTCAACATCCATTTGACAAACAACATACATGTATGTAATGAAAAGGTCATTTGTGGCTACAAAGATGGGTTTACCATCTCCACCAAGTTCTTCTTTTACAGGATGTGTATCGATCAATGAGTTGTGATGCACTCCTACCAAAAATGTGTATGAACAGTGGATGTATTGTCCAACTTATAATTTCTCATTGTTTACTTGCTTACAAGTTAAAGCATCAATAATTTCATACCTACCGACCTTTGACAACGCGCCATTGCCTGATATGCACTCCTCTGTCAAACGGTTGGAGGATTTGATCAATTTGTTTTGCTGTGTCTTAAATTTCTAAAACAGTTATTTTCAGAATTTTCAGGTTAATGCTCTAATTCTAAAACAGTTCTTTTCCGAAATCTTGATTATTTCTTTGTTTTTTTCTGGTTAGTTTTTTTCTCGGTTTTATCTTGGGTTTCGTGGTTTTTTATTTGGTTTCAGTCCATTCACCATGGCAATTGCTCTCCTATAGTCAATAAAACTTATCGAAGTTATGTAAAATGTTGCTTTCCTAAATTCCTAATGGGGATTGCTATGTTTAAAACAACTTGATTTTATTGATCAATTACTTTTCACCATATATTCATTTTCTTTATTTTGAATACTGACTGAAAATTTTCTGTTTTTGTTTTCAGCTAAACCAAACGTGATAATTAATTGTTCAACTCCTCTGGTTGTGAATGAAGGTGATAATGTGTCATGTGTATGTAGAGGTGAAGGAGGTAGCCCTCCTGCTAATGTCACATGGTTTGATAAAGATAACAACATAATTGGTGATGTTGGAGTTGTAAGTAAGACATTAGTAATCACTAATGTTACAGTGAATGATGGTGGAACTTACAGATGTAAAGCACAGAGTTATAATGATCCACGTTTTAGAGATGAAAAATCTATTGAAATAACAGTGAAAGCTACTTGTAAGTTTTGTAAGAAAGCATTTCAGATCTCATTATAAACGTTTGACATTTAGGCATCAATGCCCTTTTTGCTGCCTGCTGCGCTGACGTATGCATCTGTCGTCACCTAGCTGTTAACTTTGCCTATTGCATATCCTCATTAAATAGGCTATCAAGAGCCTTAGACGACTATGATTTGTTTATAGTTCTTCGAAGACCAACGATAGTTGTTTAGGTTTCATAATAAGTCAATATTGTTTATGTCTAGTCGGTCACGCAATTGACTTTCAAAATTTTAAAATTATTATTAATATGCATCTTTAAAGTTGAGTGATTATTGTTATGTTCTTGTTCTTTTCCAACATCAAAGTCTTTTTACAAATAAGATTTTCACTAAGCAAATTGCTTACTAATGCAGTGGTTTCATGCAAAATCTCATTGATAGCAGTTTAGTGGAAAATTTCCACTAATTTTTACTTTTAGCAAGTGATGAACGGGCTTTCTGCTGGCTTGTGACTTGTTAGGGCATCGATCCAACACTCCTAAGAAAAAAACACCTAACACTGACGAATATTCTCATTATTAATTTTCTTTTTCATGACTAATTTAAGAAAGAATTTTTTCTCCTCTTAATTTCAGTGAAACTAAATGTGGTAATTAATTGTTCAACTCCTTTGGTTGTGGATGAAGGTGATAATGTGTCATGTGTATGTAGAGGTGAAGGAGGTATCCCTCCTGCTAATGTCACATGGTTTGATAAAGATAACAACATAATTGGTGATGTTGGAGTTGTAAGTAAGACATTAGTAATCACTAATGTTACAGTAAATGATGGTGGAAATTACACATGTAAAGCACAAAGTTATAATGATCCACGTTTTAGAGATGAAAAATCTATTGAAGTAACAGTGAAAGCTACTTGTAAGTTTTGTAAGACAGCATTTCAGATCTCATTATAAACGTTTGTGTCGAATATTGAATTTAATTTTATTCTATACAGATCCACCACAACAAACCAATATCACCATCAGTCCAATGTCAGTAAAAAAAGGTCAAAATGTGACAATAACCTGTGAATCAGATGGTTATCCTGAACCAACCTACACTATTTATCATAATGGTGCAGTTGTCAGCAATAATAAGACATACATCATTCAATCAGTCAACTTCAATCACGCTGGTTCATATCGTTGTGAAGCAAAGAATAAACTGGGAAGTGATTTATCTGATGTTAAAAATCTTACTATCATCACAGGTAAAATTAAAATCTTACTTTTATCAATTTTTGAGATAGTATCCTACTTTGTGCGTAAATCAGAATTATTTACGACTTGTCAATGTTCATCTTCAATTGACTTGCATTTGTACACGATAGTACAAGATTGTAAAAAAAGTCTTTAAAAGTCTTAACATAAAAATATCATAAAAAATGCTCTTTGAACTCCACAACACAGGCGTTGGTGCTTATTTTCCTATCCTTAATTCGCATACTTTCAGGCACACGGCGCCGAAAGTTATTCTAGAGCGACCGTATGGAAAACAGCTCACCATGCTTTGCATGGGAATAAAACAATGTTAACGAGTTTGAATCTGAAGTTTAGGGTGATCATTTTTGCTTGAGGTCGTACATATCCTCTGTGACATAGGTCTCTCTATAATTGTGGTGCATTTTTGCTTGAGGTTGTACATATCCTCTGTGACCTAGGTCTCTCTATAATTGTGGTGCATTTTTGCTTGAGGTTGTACATATCCTCTGTGACCTAGGTCTCTCTATAATTGTGGTGCATTTTTGCTTGAGGTTGTACATATCCTTTGTGACATAGTTCTCTCTATAATTGTGGTGCATTTTTGCTTGAGGTTGTACATATCCTCTGTGACCTAGGTCTCTCTATAATTGTGGTCTATTTTTGCTTGAGGTTGTACATATCCTTTGTGACATAGTTCTCTCTATAATTGTGGTGCATTTTTGCTTGAGGTCGTACATGTCCTCTGTGACCTAGGTCTCTCTATAATTGTGGTCCATTTTTGCTTGAGGTTGTACATATCCTCTGTGACATAGTTCTCTCTATAATTGTGGTGCATTTTTGCTTGAGGTCGTACATATCCTTTGTGACATAGGTCTCTCTATAATTGTGGTCCATTTTTGCTTGAGATCCTAAATATCCTCTGTGACATAGGTCTCTCCATAATTGTGATCCATTTTTGCTTGAGGTCCTAAATATCCTCTGTGACATAGGTCTCTCTATAGTTGTGATCTATTTTTGCTTGAGGTCCTAAATATCCTCTGTGACATAGGTCTCTCTATAATTGTGGTGCATTTTTGCTTGAGGTTGTACATATCCTCTGTGACATAGGTCTCTCTATAATTGTGATCCATTTTTGCTTGAGGTCCTAAATATCCTCTGTGACATCTCTCTATAATTGTGGTGCATTTTGCTTGAGGTTGTACATATCCTCTGTGACATAGGTCTCTATAATTGTGATCCATTTTTGCTTGAGGTCCTAAATATCCTCTGTGACATAGGTCTCTCTATAATTGTGGTGCATTTTGCTTGAGGTTGTACATATCCTCTGTGACATAGGTCTCTCTATAATTGTGATCCATTTTTGCTTGAGGTCCTAAATATCCTCTGTGACATAGGTCTCTCTATAATTGTGATCCATTTTTGCTTGAGGTCCTAAATATCCTCTGTGACATAGGTCTCTCATTTTGCTTGAGAGGTCCTAAATATCCTCTGTGACATAGGTCTCTCTATAATTGTGATCCATTTTTGCTTGAGGTCCTAAATATCCTCTGTGACATAGGTCTCTCTATAATTGTGGTGCCTTTTTGTGGAACAGCTTCAAAAACCTGAGTTCCTCTGTCATCATATTTTCATTTGAACAGCTTACAGGGCAATATGCATGTGGTAGTCGTCGTCGTTGTTATGATAGATAAAAAAATATACTTAGGTTTGATATGTTTTTGTTATCTGTCATTTGGTACTGTTTTTATTTAAAAATTGGTCTTTAATGGCTCAAAATGATATAAGTTTTATTAGATTTTATAGTTTTATCTTTTATTTCTTGTAATAGGAAAAATTCTATCACCTCCCCCTGGCACAAGTTTTACATTTTTACCTGGAGAAACACACAATATAACCTGGACATTTGATGATGATTTAAATGATTTGGTCAGTAGAGATTGGTTTTTTACGGGTAGTAGTAATGGTTCACAATCAACACTGTTGGCCACTGTCGTTCTGGATTTGTCAGTGCAAAACTTTAATGAACCAATTCTTCCAAATTATGATGTCTTCAAACCTTCAACACTGCAGTTAAGAAATATCACTTATAGTTATGATGGAACGTATGAGTTTCAATTGAGAAGAAAAGATGGTATTGCTTTTATATCTACAGTCAGAGTTTTTGTTGCAAGTAAGTCGTCCTTTTTTATTATTTTATATTCTTCTCAGTTTTAGAAATTTATATTTTTCATTTTAAAATTAATGAAAGCAATACATCTATTCAGTTAGAAACGTAGAAAAATAATTAGACCAGTGGTTGCAACGTTAGGGGACTAAGAAATTCAAACCATCTGCATGGGTCGTATGGCTCATGTTATTGGTTGATTACGAAATCATGGGTTAAAGTGTATATTGGCTACCAGAGGCGGTTCTAGAATTTTTCAAACGTCAGCCATAAAACAGCAGACGCCAGACATCCTCCCTTGAGAAATTTTAAAACATAAGATGCTAGAAATCGATTTCAAGCATTTTGGAATACCTTGACTGTCAATTTTTGCATGGTTACAAAGTGAGCGAAATCGCCGTTGTTAAAAATCAATGATAATAATCAATGCTCTTCCTCATGTTGACTACATCATTTTTCAAAGTGGTTATCAAATGAAAACCATCCATAACATCAATAGTTTTTCCATGCAACAATTGCGTACTAGAAGAGTAGCATCCAGAATCTTTCTGGTAGAAACTAGCGCAACAATAAAATGAAATTGAATGACTAATGAAAGTAACTGGGAAGCATCAGCAGCAAGGGAAGGCTTTACATCGTCGCTTGCATTGTTTATCATGTCTGAAGAGTGCCGATTAAAGGGATAAACGTTCGAACATTTCAAGAATGTGAATACGCTCAACCCATCTGGTTTTACAAAGACTTACCAGTTTTGCCTTCTTGGTCTGAACATCTGACTTTTTCACGTGCTAAGCAAGGGGTATGTTGCGTATCTGTGATATGATGATAAAATTGGCAGCTTGACAAACAACAGATAACATGGTATTAATTTCAACGTTAGAAAGAGTGTTACAGACAGATGAATTTAGTCGATGACTATAACAGTGAGTGTATAAATTGCATTCAGTAAAGAATCAACTAATAATAGAACAAGGGGGCAACTGTTCTTTTTGAGAAGAATCGCAGCTTCATCTGCAATGATAGAATAATATCTATTTTTTATCCCCGTCGATATTACCTGATCAATACAATTGATGATTTTTTTTGGCTTGTCTTGGCAATATTCTTTTATGCTTGCCACATTCGAACAAATGATTTTCCAAAGTTTGATCACCAGCTTTAACTCTAAAATTTTAAGATTCAGCAAAATTACCAACATTGTTTTTAACTGAATAGCAACCAGCCTCTGAGTGAAATTGAGTATCATCACGATGACGTCGTAGTCCAATGGTAATTAAGAAACACCAAAGCAAAACCTTTGTCAACAAGACGAAGTCCATATTTAGTCGACATGGAATTCTGGAAACGATAGAATCCTATAATCAGCCTCATTACTCATCGGAAGAATGCAAACAGTTTGCGTTAGACTACCATTTAACACATAACACCATAAGTCCGAGTTATCCACACTCAGGTGGATTACGTGAGATAAACAGTTCAGACAGTCAAAAACATTCTCAAGAAATGCAAAGCGAGTGGACAAGACCGACAAGAATATCTCGCGCTGTTAGACTATCGTAACACCCCCATTGACGGTGTGAGCCCTGCGCAAGCCGCTTTGATCAACCATTCCTACTTTACAATGTAGGCTGTATCCCAAACCTATCGACCAAGCTACATTTCACACTGCTCGTCAATAAATGCATTGCCAAGGTTTCGCAACAACTGAAAAAAAGTGAATGAGTGAGATTTCGCCAAGACTCGGTATGACCATGGACTCGCGGAACGATGATACGAAAGCATTAAACACCCAGAAGCTACATAGTATAAGGCGAATACAGAACAGAACACAGAAGAAATCGTAGGTACATACTCAAGACCTGAATTCAGATTCAGCTGCAAATGCTGCTACAGAGAATGCCCAATGGGGTTGGGGTTGTGTGGCAGAATGGTTTTCTTCCAAACTATAAAGATGACATTGCTTGCGAAAAACAAATTCTTGGTTATGGAATGTTTTCACTGCTCGCCATGTTGGTAGAAAATCTCCTATAGGTAAAAGAATCTGTATTGATTTTATGTTGTGTTCAGCGTAGGCCCTTTGAAGTTGCCTATCAACATGGCCGCTTTGACGTCATCACACGAAAGAGCTTCATTCTCTTTTTTCATCGTTAGTAGATAAAAGTAACTTGCTTAATACTTTCTTGCGAAATCTATTCGAAAGAAATATCCTTTTCAAGAAGTTATGATCACTTTCCTTGAACTCATCTGATGGCAATCTAAATAGCATGCGTCAGCGCAATTCTTACCACAAAATTGGCAATAAAAACGTAGGGTTTCGTATTGCGTTGCATTAATTGTGAAAGAAATATTTGCTATTTTCAGCTATTAGCTGGAAGTTTATTAAAGCCTTGCGATTTCAGAAAAATCCCTTAGACTTTATTTTTTCATTATGTTGAAGAGAAAATTGTTTCAGCATCCATTTTCTTTATCATAATTAGTGAAATTTTTTTGCTTTTGTTTTCAGTAAAACCTACAGTGGTGATTAATTGTCCAACTCCTCTGGTTGTGAATAAAGGTGATAATGTGTCATGTGTATGTAGAGGTGAAGGAGGTAACCCTCCTGCTAATGTCACATGGTTTGATAAAGATAACGCAAGAGTTCGTGTGTTTGGAGTTGAAAGTGCGACTTTAGTAATTCCTGATGTTAAAGTGAATGATAATGGAAGTTACAGATGTAAAGCACAAAGTTATGATGATCCAGGTTTCAGAGATCAAAAATCCATTGAAATACAAGTAAAATGTAAGTTTTGAAAATATATATTTTATCATCTTGTTACTATAGATGTTTGAAAACTTCCTCTTCAACTTTGTTATTATTGACGTGTGGTAAAATATCATGACTTTGGAATATTATACACCTATTGTATGCTCCCAAGGGAAATAGTGAGTTTAGTTTTCCAAGAGTCTCAATACATTGCATGCGATTCGAGGGAAAACAAAGCTCAGTATTTCTCACGGAATCATACATTAAGTGTTTTGTTATATATAGGAACAAAATTCATAGATTTCAACAATTTTAAATGAAATTAACGTCTCTTTGGGGGGGAGATTTGTCCGTCGAGATTTCGTTTCATAATGCTATAAGGGTGACCACAGCATTTTTGGAGCACTTCTAAGGGTTTTCACAATATTTTTTTCTATTACAAGTTGAATTTCGTTGCTTAATAAACTCGAGACTTGTATTTTTAGTTTTCGGCTCCATAGCTGTTTTATTTTTATGATATTAAAATCAGCACGCAACAATTTTTCACTTGTTTCCCTCATGGGAAACATTGATCATGTGACTACAATGAACCAATCATACATACACAGCACATACAACAACATTCCTCTTCCGCTTTTTACCCCTACCTCACTGACGCTTACATATTGTTTCTATCATGGCTATTATTATGATTCTGTTTTTAATTTCAGTTAAACCAACAGTGTCGATTAACTGTTCATCTCCTCTGTTTGTGAATGAAAGTGATAATGTGTCATGTGTATGTAGAGGTGAAGGAGGTCACCCTCCTGCTAATGTCACATGGTTTGATAAAGATAACACAACAGTTCGTGGATTTGGTGTTGAAAGTGCTACTTTAGTAATCACTGGTGCCTCACCAAATGATCGTGGAAGTTACAGATGTAAAGCTGAAAGTTTTAATGATCTACGTTTCATTGACGAAAAATCCATTGAAATAATAGTGAATTGTAAGTTGCGAACTTTAGTACTTTTTGCAATAAAGTTTTCAAATTGTCAAATACGTACAATTTTGAATTGTTAATTTCAGATAAACCAAGAACTACGACCATAACCCTATCAAAAATAAATCCAAAAATTGGTGAAAGTGTGATTATTACCTGTGAATCAGATGGTTATCCTGAACCAACCTACACTATTTATCATAATGGTGCAGTTATCAGTAATAATAAGACATACATCATTCAATCTGTCAACTTCAATAACGCTGGTTCATATCGTTGTGAAGCAAAGAATAAACTGGGAAATGATTCATCTGATGTTAAAAATCTTACTATCATCAAAGGTAAAATTAAAATTTTACTTCATCAATTTTTGGGCTAGTATTCTACATTGTACATGAACAAATTACGACTGTTCAGTTTCATCCCATTTGTACACGATAGTACAAGATTGTGCTGAACAATGAAGATAGTTATATATTTTTCTTTGTTGGCGAGATTTAGATTCGTTGTGCTAAAAGACTACCACTGTCAATTATGATTGACTCTTAAGCCTACACCTCATATGCCCCTTTCGCTGCCTGCTGCGCTGACGTATGCATCTGTCGTCACCTAGCTGTTAACTTTGCCTATTGCATATCCTCATTAAATAGTTTATCAAGAGCCTTAGACGACTATGATTTGTTTATAGTTCTTCGAAGACCAACGATAGTTTTTTAGGCTTCATAATAAGTCAATATTCTTTAGGTCTAGTCGGTCACGCGATTGACTTTTAAAATTTCAAAAATTATTATTAATATGCATCTTGAAATTTGAGTGATTATTGTTATGTTGTTCTTTTCCAACATCAAAGTCTTTTTTACAAATGAAATTTTCAATAAGCAAATTGGTTAATAATGCAGCGGTTTAATGCAAAAATCTCATTGAATAGCAGTTTAGTGAAAAATTTCCACTAATCTGGACTTTTAGCCAGTGATAAGCGGGCTTTGTGCTGGCTTGTGACTGGTTAGGGCATCGATCCAACACTCCTAAGAAAATGCACCTAACACTAACGAATACTCTCATTATTAATTTTCTTTTTCATAATTTAAGAAAGGAATATTTTCTGTTTTTAATTTCAGTGAAACCAAATGTGGTAATTAATTGTTCAACACCTCTGGTTGTGAATGAAGGTGATAATGTATCATGTGTATGTAGAGGTGAAGGAGGTATCCCTCCTGCTAATGTCACATGGTTTGATAAAGATAACAACATAATTGGTGATGTTGGAGTTGTAAATAAGACATTAGTAATCACTAATGTTACAGTGAATATTGGTGGAAATTACACATGTAAAGCACAAAGTTATGATGATACAGATTATAGAGATGAGAAATCCATTGAAATAACAGTGAGACCTACATGTAAGTTTGCAAGGCGGCATTTCAGATCTCATTATAAACGTTTGTGTAGAATATTGAATTTAATTCTATTCTTTACAGATCGACCACAACAAACCAATATTACCATCAGTCTAATGTCAGTAAAACAAGGTCAAACTGTGACAATAACCTGTGAATCAGATGGTTATCCTGAACCAACCTACACTATTTATCATAATGGTGCAGTTATCAGTAATAATAAGACATACATCATTCAATCTGTCAACTTCAGTCACCAAGGTTCATATCGTTGTCAAGCAAAGAATAAACTGGGAAATGATTTATCTGATGTTAAAAATCTTACTATCATCACAGGTAAAATTAAAATCTTACTTTTATCAATTTTTGAGATAGTATCCTACATTGTACGTAAATCAGAATTATTTACGACTTGTCAATGTTCATCTTCAATTGACTTGCATTTGTACACGATAGTACAAGGTTGTAAAAAAAGTCTATTTTACAAATGAAAATTTTCATAAAGTAAATTGCTTTATGAAGCAGCGCCAAAAAATCTCATTAGTTACCAAATTAGTGGGAAAATTCCACTAATCTGGACTTTTACTGACTATCGCGCTGTGCGCTGGTGTTTGTAACTGATTTAGACAAGGCCATTCTTACGCTACTCGTAGTTCGGCCGTCTAAAATTGTGATCGTACTCAAATTGTAAATCAGCTACTGCGCATGCTCTATGGACTCAGACTGCTTCGCCCGGATCCGTGGCATCAAATTTTGCCTTTTTTATCGTTCTTTTTATCGTTGTGAAGCAATGTTTACACTGGGCAAAGATTTGATGTTAAGAATTTCGCTATCAACCAAGGTAAAAACATGGAATTTCACTCTTTCATTTGAATTGCTCTTTTTGGTCAATTATTATTATTTTTTTCGATAGATATTTCTGTCATTCAGAAAGGTAATTTATTTACAATGCTTTAAAATTATATTTATGTTTAAAATACTATTAGCTCTTTCTGTTCACTTTGCATGCGCTACCTGAGATGCTAAAAATCCTTAAACGAAAATTTAAGCAAATCGCTCTTTTATAGCAAACTTTAGCTCTAGCCACACAATGCAATTAACATCTCGACCTTTTCCTTAGTTATAATGGAAATGTTCAATTCAATCTATCCAATGCTCAATCAAAATCCTCCAATCTTGTTATCATATGTTATCATAATGCTAAATTATTAAGTATCTACTTTTGTGTTATGTTTAGTGTAGAAAAAGGATACCAGTAAGTGAATTATTCATTTTAATGTTCTTTGTGTGATATGTGATGTTAATGTGTTTTTTATTTCTCATCTTTTGAATAAAATATTTTCATGGTTTGAGCAAGTTAGAGAAGCCGTTGTTTTTCGTACAGTACGAACTGTTATATTAATGTTTTATCTATATTTTCTTCGTTTTGTCCATATCATGTACAAAATTTAATCATGGTTGTTAATGTTGCAGTGGTGAAAATGGTGTTGAACCTTTAGCTGGAGCTAATAATGCACAACCCAATCATTATGAAGAGGCTGGAGAACTTAGAGAAAATGCTTATGAATCCGTTGGCAATCAATATGAAACAGTAAATAATCCATCAACAGGTGATGAAAGTAAACCATCAACAAGTAAAGCACCACCACCTGTATATGCCTCGATCGATAGAGAAAACTGAGAAGGAAATCCGGTTTGTTGTGGATATTTGTCATTTATTATTTATACATAAAATTTGTGCATTTATTTTGTTTTAGTTGGATTATGGCGATGATTTTGAATTCATCATGGAGATTATGCAGGGTGTTTAAAAAAAACTGCTCATATTTGAAAACACCCGCGACATTTAGAATTTATACAATTCAGCAATACATGATCCCCAAAGACTTGTAAACGCAATTGAAAACAATAATACGAATTGCTTCATTGAAACTTGATTTTACATTAGACGATTCTCTCTAATAAACGCTTTGACTCAAATAGTCGCACCCCACACATTGCTATTGTTAACAGTGGGTTATCGATTGCGCTAAGAAACCGTATATTTAGTCTTGAATTGTGTTTATTTGCTCACAATATGGTGATAGAGAATGATGTAAACGTCTTTCTATTTAACTCTTTGTGTCAATTGAAGGCCCCCTCTTCTTTCTAGGCTGCTATTGTATTTATTTAACGTCCTGTGTTTATTAGGTCATTTACGATGTATAAAAAACCTATAAATATTTTATCATCTTATGTATATATGAGAAAATATATCGTTGAACATTGAAAGTTTCTCCGGATTTTTATATATAATTTTATTGAGCTTTCGACTCGATGCTTCCTGCCTTCTTCAGAATTTATGAAGTTATTGGCTATCTACAATCCGGCGAAACTTTCAATTTTGAACAAGAATTATGTCTGGATTACAAATCTTCAAGCTGATAAAATATATATACATACACAATGACAATATATACGTATGTTTTTCTTTAGTTATACTCCTACCTTGACTTTAAAGATGAACCTAAAAGAAAGCCAGACAAAAATCGTCCTGCACCAACTGAATACGCCAGTATTGATATGAGTAAACTGGCACCTGTCGAGAAAAAAGACGAAAAGAAAAAAGACGACAAGAAAGGCGGTGACAAAGACGGAGATGAGAAGAAGGATTAGTAAGTTTTATCTTTTGGAATAGATCCACAAAGCTCGACGTCATTAATTGATGGTTGAAGAAAAAAGTAAAAATTGATTCATTTGTTGAATATTTTTTGAAAAAATGCCGAAAACCTGTTTTTCTTTCTCTTATTATGGTAGTTTAATCTTATTATAAATTTCCTTTAGAACTGGCGATCGTCGTTAGTAAAAGAAGAGAATGTGTAAAGACTTACTACATTTATAAAGATTAACTTTGTTCTTCATTAGATAATCTAGAATTAATCTCTAAACACTATTAAACTGAATACTTTATTATTGTGTCTGTGTACATAATCTTTTGCCATAAACAAACTTGAACCTTGGCATCTATGCTACAGTTTGTGAATGTATTTTACTTGCCTTTATAAGGCAACAACATTACACACTGACTTTAACGCAGCATTTTGAATAGAATATTGTTTTAATCGTAGTTTTACTTTTATTATTTTAATTATCATGGTTAAACCATTTAAACTTTTATTTACATAGAAATTAAGTGTAGAAATTAGATAGAAAAATCAAGCAATGTCAAGGAGTGTGATGGAAAACTCTTTAAATTGCTTCTTTACGATTGAATGATTTTCATATGCATTAGTGTAAGGGATGTTTACGAATAAAACAATTTCGTGATCATTATTATTTTTGCTTCTTTATTTTCGTGTCTACTGTAGATGTGAGATTTGATCTACCCCCAAAGACAAGCTAACATTGAATGGCTTTGTTTCAGCAAGCTTGGGCGGTAATAGAAATTTTTTAATTTAAAAATTTCTAGGAAGACAGCAAACTGCAATTTAAAACAATTTAGTGAACAAAATGTAAATAAATTTTAATGTGTGAGTCATTGCACAATGGATAGTGCTATCCTTGTTTCGTGTAAACAATGCTTCAATTCCATAAACATCAATGGTAGTTTTCAGCGAGAAAACATCTCAATTATGCTCATCAGTGGACAATATTCACAGCCGTTACATCAATTGCAGAAATGTTTGGTATTTGTGACCAATAACAAAAACTTCAATTCTGTGCATCTATGTTTTTCCACAAATGATTTAATTTTGATGTAGCAATATCGAATTGATAATTTTAGGTTCAATAATATCTCCACCTGAATGGTCAAAAATTTGTATTTTTACCAGGATCCTCTCACAATATAACTTGGAGATTTGATGTTACCTCATCCATAATTGCACGTGTTTGGTCCTTTATCCCTCGTGGTGCTACTGCTTCGCAACGACTTGTAACGATAACTGGTAATGGTGAACCGCGACATGATTCATCACCTTTAACATTTCAAGTTTTTGATCCTGAAACTCTGATGTTGAAGAATGTCGATCAAACAGTGGTGTTTACACATTTACTATCATAGCTAATACAGCTGACACACAAAGAAAGTAAATGTGTATATTGCCTGTAAGTTTTTATTTTGGCGTTTTTTGTCTGATGAGTAGTCTGCCGAAATGCATAGTGTCTTTTAGCTTTAAAAACAGTTCTTTTAGAATTGTTGGCTTTAGTGTTTTGGTTTTAAACCGTTCTTTTAAGAACTATTACGTTATTATTTTAACCATTCACCATGGTATTTGCTCTTTTTTAAACAATTTTAACTTCTAATATACCCGATTAAAAAGAGCAAAGTCGTCTGACGTCATCCATGTACAGTCCTTTGCTAAACAGAAGTTTGCAGTCCAACCATCTGAATTGAAGTTGCTTGGGTTGAAGTGGTAAAAGTTAAAGGACAACTTGGTTATTTGTCATTTGATTTACTGTTTTGCGAAATTAAAAATTGCTCAGTGATGCATGCCCCCCTGTGACTCGTCAAAACATTCTCAATCTAGCCAGGTTTGGTATTTCATCTAAAAACTGCAGAGTAAGATCATTGGTAAGATAGATAAGGTGAGCAGGGGCAGGGATCAAGCTTACCCAGGGCCCCTGGCGATTCCAAAGTCCCCCCCCCATCTGGACTTCTTTGTAGACAAAGTATAAGAAATTTTTAATTGTGCATTAAAATTGTGAAAATTACTAAGAATATTTCAGCAAAAGCGATTTATACAGATGTTATTTTTCACTATGATTTTCTTACAAAATCCACTTGTGGATGCTCATCGCCTTCAAGAGCATTGTAATCAACTAGGACATGGATATTGGCACAGCGTGTTGAAGTATGCTTTCACAATTTATACATTCATCTAAAAGCACCATTAAGTCATATGTAAGGATAGAATTACAGAGATTGTATGGCTGGTATTCTGTTTTTAAAACAACACTGGGCAATTTGCGTGGCTTGTCATGAGACAGGTTTTGATAAAATATGATTGCTCTGTTACATATGACAGCGTTGTCAAGGCGTTTACATTCTTTTCATTTACTTATATAAATATTTGCACAACATGAGACCCGGAAATAATGTGAAATAAGGAAAATTAGCTGGTTTGTTTAAGAATTTGCTTCTGTTTGTTTAAGAAATTATTGCAGCTTAATTACTTCTGTATTGTTCAAGGTAAATTGAATCATTTAAAATGTTATCAAATATTGATTGTTCAGTTCATTTGTAAATAATTTTATTGACATTTCACGGAATTTCCTGTGGAATTAAGAAGATGTCTGAGATGTATCATAGTGGAAAGTTCTTTAATACTTCCGCAATGTACAAAACAAAAAAATCTTGTTTTACTGGCAACAACAGAGGATGCTTTTTATCGAAAATTTAGAAAGTTTTACTGATGCTCTTGTTTCCTTCAATATTAATGGTTATAGGAAATCAAAAATATACATAAAATATGAAGGAATACATCATATATTTCTGTATCAGTTCTGTGATTTTACTTAAGTTTCATCTTCACTTTACCTTTATAGACAGAATACAAGATGGCAAAGTTTGACTTCCTTTCATTTGTTTTGTTCTGTTGGAGTTCATCTTGTCAAGGTATTTATTATTTTTATTAGATCATTAAGGAAGTAAATGGCTATTTTTGTCAAATACAACTGTGGAATTTGCTTAGAATTGTAAGGTATATCGACTAAAATACTCACTTAATTCTTCATTTTGTGTACAATGACCATAATCAGTTCTGCATTGAATAAAATAATTTAAAAGCAATACCTGGCAGTATTTAAGAAGACAAAGAGTGTTCATTTCTTGCGTAATTTTCATCCAACGTTAGTTCAGTGAGTAAACGTCTCTGTGTACAGTGTTTCAGTGAGTAAACGTCTCTGTGTACAGTGTTTCAGTGAGTAAACATCTTTGTGTACAGTGTTTCAGTGAGTAAACGTCTCTGTGTACAGTGCTTCAGCTGATTTGGAACCTCCTAAAAATAGTTAAAATAAATAAATAAATTTTTATCCACAAAATGAAAAATGCCACAATTTTTATTAGGAGTACTGAAAATTAAATTAATCATTTACGTAATAAAAATAAGAAACTTTCGCGTAACGGACTTCATGAAAATTTATTCAGGAGCGACCGTGTTTTTCATGGGAACAAAACAATCTTATTAAGTTTGAATATGAATTTTAGCGTGGTTTATTTCTATGTAGGGGGTACATATCCTCTGTGTCATAGGTCCTAGACTAATCGATGTCTTAACAGTACACCTAATGAACACCAAATTCGAAATATTCTGATATCGATATCAATTCATCCCCCGAAATCCGTGTTGAATTTCTAAACATTCACAATGTCTTTTAACTCGTCAAACTTTCTACGTTTTCCTTCATAAGACTTAACAAATAGAGCGATTTTATCTTCATTTTCAATTTTTTCGCCTTAAAGAAATGAGTTATTTTCTCCTCATATTGCTTCAAAGCCTTAATGTCATCACTATTCTACAATGCTTAACCTTCTACATTGTCTGTGTAATATATTGATTCATGCGTAGTTGAATACTGACTTAAATAATTTAGCAGCTGGTATAAATATATAGTAACAATGATTACACTTTAACAACATTATCATTGCAATACTGCAATAGTGTATTTTAAGGTAAACTATTGGGTCCCATTATACTCGGCTAGCTTAACGTCGCTTTAAACAAAACTTTTTAAGAATTCTGATGTATTTTGAATTTCATAATTTTAAAAGACCAAGACGAAACACTACATTAAATACTAAACGAGTATGTTGGGTTTCATTTCTTCTTTGATTCTTGAAAATATTTTTGGACTTCCTGTTATATTGTTTAGTTACCAAACTAATAAGGGCCTGTTTACATGGGAATAGTGTAACCATACTTGCAAGGCTATATTTTTGTGTAGGGTGACTCTACCATTGACAGGTCTGTGTATTACTATTAATGACAGCAACATCAGCATGTTGTAGACATGATTGCAGATGAAACATTTTGGCTTCCTTGAGGCATATTTATAAAGATTCATAATTCAGTGTAAGATCTCTGAAAATTGTTTCAAATTCATTTTCATTATATTATATTCACATCGAGTGTTTTTTTCAATGAAGACTTAACATTCATAGCGAGCCAGAGCTGAAAAACCAGAATTTTTACGGCACTAACCATGTTAACTCATGATTTTATTTTCAAAGATCATAAGCATTAAAATTCATCATTAGATTTTTTAGTGAAAATTGTAAAGTCAAATTTTATATTTTTGACTGTTACATTGATCACATGTTTTGGTCTTGCAAAAGGTTTTAACTTCAAATCTCCATTCTTTTTTACTTAAATGATTTTTGTTATATTTTTAGTTGTTGTAGTAGTAATATTTAATTAGTTTATTTTTTTATTCACAATTTTTGAATAGAACCTGAATTAAGAAAATCAATTACTTTTGTTAAGTTAGTAGAAGATGTATTTTTTCACTAAACTATCTTTTTATCAGTCATAGATATCAGCTAAATTTCAATTTTAGGAACAATAACATCTCCACCTGATGGTCAAAAATTTGTATTTTTGCCTGGATCTTCTCACTATATAACTTGGACATTAAATAATAATGGAAACTTTGTTTTTCGGAGTTGGACCTTTAGGACATTTGACACTCCTTCTTCTGCAGCTCAAGTAATTGTAATAATAATTGATGATCAAGAACCAGTTTATCGTACATCAGTCCTTAAGTCTTTTGGTTTAGATGTTGAAGTTTTAAACCTGCAACTCTAATGTTAAAAACGTTAATCAAAGTTACATTGGTGTTTATAAATTTTCTATCCATGCTCCTGATCCCTTTGGCTCATCTGTTGAAGTATCTATTGCAAGTAAGTTGTATTTATTATTTTAAACTTAGCAGTGGGGTTATCCAAGCCTTTCATGTAATCTGAGTAGCTTTAGCATTGGGCGTAATTATACGATATGTGACCGCGGTCTGGAATCCTATAGCTAAATACTTGAGCCGTTGAGCGAAGACAAATGCGAAGACTTGTTTTGTTTTGTTTTAATTTAAAAAGGAAATTATAGGGTATCTTTTGATTTGAATAGTCTATGTTAAAGTGTTTGTATCACAGATTTTACTACATTTGAGTATAGGACAAAAAATTAGTTATTGATACCACTTTCGATTTTTGTGGTATAAAATTTGATCAACTGATCAACTGGTAATATCACTATTATGTCTCGCCGAACAAAGAACAGTCTATCCACGCTTACAGTGCTGATGTTAAAAGCTTGATTCTGCACAGACAAAATTGTTTCAGAAAAGTTAGACATAGACGATAACGCAAGTAAACTCGACCAAATCCTCACTCGTCTACGTATTTTAGAAGAAAAATCGAAAAACGATGATAACAAAAAAGCCGTCCTTCTAGTTGACAACGCGAAAATGGCAGCCGAGATTGACCATTTGAAATTTTTTATTAGCATGCTAAGAGAAGACAACAATCGAATCTTGTCTCTCCTTGATAACAATCAAAATGCTTGGATAGATGTTAATCGTAAGAATCAACCCAAGACAATCAACAAAAAACCAACAACTAATCCTCTTCCTCTAGTACGGGGGTCTCCAAACTTTACAGCCAGAGGGCCACATAAACTTTCATCCAGCATGTTGAGGGCCGACGAACCGTATACCGCTGGTCAAAGAGCGATGAAGAAGTATTTTACACGTCACTCTTCTTGAAATCGCCGACATTCATGTACAAAGTTTATTTTGTTTAATGATATTAATATTTTTTTCTCAAGTGTCTCTGCGGGCCAGATTGAGAGGCCTAACGGGCCGCATCTGACCCGCGGGCCGTAGTTTGGAGACCGCTGCTCTAGTAAATACATTTGGAAATCTCCACGATAAATCCCTCAAGGAAAATCACGTAGCTCCGACAGTTAGCACACCGTCATTGGAAGTATGCCTCACTCAGTCAACTCAGTCCCAACTGAATGTTTACCGCTGTAAGCAGAAGGAAAAGTTCAACAAATCAAAATTGACATTCCTAATAACGACCAAGATATAACTGACAATCGTAACTGTCAAATCAACTACAGACTATTCTAACAAAACTAAATCCAAGTCTTACTATTACAAACTACCCAGCAAAAACTACGAAAGTTAACAAGACGCTTCTGTAATTATGTGGACATTAAAGTAGTTATTCCTTTGAGAAAATTTCACAGGTTAAAGCCAAATTCCTCCCACAAAATAAAGCCACTGAAAGACACTATTTCCTTTTTTTTCGATTCTTTTGCGTGATGTAATTCTCCTTATATTATTTAGGAGGTAACTCGCCATATCTTCACACTCATCAAAGAACGCACAACTTCCAACAAAAATTTACACATTTACAAACACCTTCACACTTCACTACAATGTAAAACTTACTACAACAATTTATGATTTTGCATCGTGGACATCGGTTACCTTTTATTTTACTCTAAAACTTAAAGAAGCTCTCTATACTAAAAAAGTTAAACAAACAATGTCATCACATCAACACCATCTTCAATTTCTACGTATCTCTAAATTATTCAGTAATTTGATACCTGTAACATATTTCATATGAATATATTTCTCATTCCTCTGTACTGAAGATGGTATAAGATTTCCGAAACTCATGTTTAATTTCAAAAAAATCGTCGTTCTCTTAAAATGTTTCATATATCTGTTGTGTTGTTGGGAAATCATAAAAATATGATTCGTACAATAAAAAACAGTTTTTACCATCATATGAAAGGATGTAACAAACATTTCAACATTTCATGGTTAAAAATATTTTTGTTCTACACTGTATAATCATTAGGTAGTGGTTTATGTACAACGATGTCTTTAATTTGTCTAATCTTTTTTTAGTTAAACCAAACGCGACAATTAATTGTTCAACTACTCTGGTTGTAAATGAAGGTGATAATGTGTCATGTGTATGTAGAGGTGAAGGAGGTAACCCTCCTGCTAATGTCACATGGTTTGATAAAGATAACAACATACTTGGTGATGTTGGAGTTGTAAGTAAGACATTAGTAATCACTAATGTTACAATGAATGATGATGGAAATTACAGATGTAAAGCACAAACATACAATGATCCACGTTTTAGAGATGAAAAATCTATTGAAGTAATAGTGAAAGGTACTTGTAAGTTTGTAAGACAGCATTTCAGATCTCATTATAAACATTTACAGAATATTGAATTTTGTTAATTCTATTCAGATCCACCACAACAAACCAATATTACCATCAGTCCAATGTCAGTAAAAAAAGGTCAAAATGTGACAATAACCTGTGAATCAGATGGTTATCCTGAACCAACCTACACTATTTATCATAATGGTGCAGTTATCAGTAATAATAAGACATACATCATTCAATCTGTCAACTTCAATCACGCTGGTTCATATCGTTGTAAAGCAAAGAATAAACTGGGAAATGATTTATCTGATGTTAAAAATCTTACTATCATCAAAGGTAAAATCAAAATTTTCATCAATTTTTGGACTAGTATTCTACATTGTACATGAACAAATTACGACTGTTCAGTTTCATCCCATTTGTACACGATAGTACAAGATTGTGCTGAACAATGAAGATAGTTATATATTTTTCTTTGTTGGCGAGATTTAGATTCGTTTTGCTGAACGATTACCACTCCCAATTATGATTGCTTCTTGAGCTTACGCCTCATATACCCCTTTGGATGCCTACTGCGCTGACGTATGCATCTGTCGTCACCTAGCTGCTAACTTTTCCTATTGCATATCCTCATTAAATAGGTTATCAAGAGCCTTAGACGACTATGATTTGTTTATAGTTCTTCGAAGATCAACGATGGTTGTTTAGGCTTCATATTAAGTCAATATTATTTATGTCTAGTCGGTCACGTGATTGACTTTCAAAATTTCAAAATTTATTATTAATATGTATCTTGAAATTTGAGTTATCATTGTTATGTTGTTGTTCTTTTCCAACATCAAAGTCTTTTTTAAAAATGAAATTTTCATTAAGCAAATTGGTTAATAATGCAGCAGTTTAATTGAACACTCATAAGAAAATGCACCTAACACTAACGAATACTCTCATTATTAATTTTCTCATTACTAATTTTCATAACTAATTTAAGAAAGGAATATTTTCTGTTTTTAATTTCAGTGAAACCAAATGTGGAAATTAATTGCTCAACACCTCTGGTTGTGGATGAAGGTGATAATGTATCATGTGTATGTAGAGGTGAAGGAGGTATCCCTCCTGCTAATGTCACATGGTTTGATAAAGATAACAACATAATTGGGGATGTTGGAGTTGTAAGTAAGACATTAGTAATCACTAATGTTACATTGAATGATGGTGGAACTTACAGGTGTAAAGCACAAAGTTATAATGATCCACGTTTTACAGATGAAAAATCTATTGAAGTAACAGTGAAAGCTACTTGTAAGTTTTGTAATACAGCATTTCAGATCTCATTATAAACGTTTGTGTAGAATATTGAATTTAATTTTATTCTTTACAGATCCACCACAACAAACCAATAATTTGAGTTGATTTCTGTGTAGCTATTTTAGCATTTTTCATTAAGTTTGGGCTAGAATTCCAACCAGTAAATTTGTTAACATATGTATCTCCAACATCATTTTTCCTTTCAAAATATTCATCTACTGATTGCAACACAAAAGATAATTTATTTACTATGCTATAAAATCATATTTATGTTTAAAATACTATTAGCTCTTTCTGTTCAATTTGCATGCGCTACCTGAGATGATAAAATCCTTTAAAGAAAATTTTAGCAAATCGCTCTTTTATAGCAAACTTTAGCTCTGGCCACACAATGCAATTAACATCTCGACCTTTGCCTTAGACTTAATGGAAATGTTCAATTCAATCTATCCAATGCTCAATCAAAATGCTTCATCTTGTTATTATATGTATATTAGTATTGTATACAAATAAACTCTTTTGATTTTTTCCATGTTTTTAAGTTCTATGCTTCTGCTCTAGACAACGTTCTTTGTGATGGCCAAAAAGAGAATAAAACAATGCAAAACAGAATGGTACATTATTTTAATAACTTTAACATCTGGAATTATCGTTGGAAATTTTGTCTCTATTTTATTTTTTTTGCGTTATCGTCAACATTGGTTTAATAAGAAACGTCAACAATTTCAATCTCCATCTGAAGTTAGGAAAATTCTGTTGATACAACTTATCAAGAATTGGATTTATCAAAATGAATAATAAAGAAGATAATTATCAATCATTAAGACCAAAGGATGACACAGTTGATACAACTTATGAAGAACTGGACATATCGAATAGGAATATAGAAGATAATAATTATGAATCTTTGTAAAAAAATAATGAATCGGAGTACGAGATAGCCGACGAAAGAAGAAATTATGAGAATAGTAATTTGTTTTGAAGAAAATCATAAATTTATTCTAAACATGTGTTTATAAACATTTTCCATGTTGTAAAGTCACAATGGTGCTTTTACGAACATTTACATTTTCTGATAAGATTTGAATTTCGCAACTTTTCCTCCCTTTGGAGCTGCCAATACTTTATGATTTCCAGAAGGAAGCCATTTTTGGATGAGAAAATACACTGGTCATTCTGATTCATTCATTGGTTGTTTATGATAACAGTGTATGGTAATACTGTTTTTGAATAAGTGTTTTCTATTTATCTGAATAATGCCTTGAGACCCATCTAGTTAAGAGATGACCATAGTTGGATAGTTAAGAACACCTTTAGTGATCTACTATGGAGCGCCAATCGTAACAAAAATTATTTGCAGTTTTTAAGGTCTCATTTTTAATACAGGGTTAGTGGGGTGTTCGACAACATAAGGAGAGCCTCAAAAATGCGGGGACCTTTAAAAAATTTAACGTCTTAATACTCAAAAATATAAACAAATGTACTGGAGAATCCCAAGTGTTTAATATCGCAATGCTCCAGACGTACAAAAACCTCCATCATTTGGGAGTAACAATAAAACTTAAATGAAGATATGATCTTCGCACTTTGCTGGACAATTTAAGTGCGAAGATCATATCTTCATTTAATTTCAAACACCGCACTGCATAAAACATTCATATAACAATAAAACTGTTAACGTTTTGATATTTAATTCTCGATTTGAATGCTAAAGCAACAAGAGCAATAACTTTAATTTTATAATACATTTACATTCAAAGGCCTAAAGATGTTTTTTTTTGATATTTTAGTCAGCAGTTATTAAGTAATAGAGCATTCGCAAAGAATGGCAAAAACGTTTGGTTAGATTTTGTTGGGGGCTAAGCCTTCCCCCAGTGCTGTGTCCAGTCCTTTGAAGCTTAGTGTTAATATTGACCTTGTAGTATCGGCTAAAGGCAAACATTCCATTTTTTATTTTTATTTTATAAAGTGAGGGTAGGAGAATATTCATATATTCAGCACTGCCCTGCTGGGGCCAGTTGCACAAAGCCTGGATAGCGCTATCCATTGGATAGCAAAAATTTTCAAATTTGTAAAAAAGGTGTTTATATTTTACTTACGACAAAGAAATTTTATAATCTCCGAAACAATATTTTTTTCAGACTTTTCAGTGAGTGCTCAGTTCGAATTTTATATTTTTTGCTTTTTAAAAGGTTTTATAAAAGTTTGAAAAAATTGCTATCCAGGCTTCTTGCAGCCGGCCCATGATATCTTTTGAAATTAAAATCGCCAACAAAAGAAAGTAGCAGGAAAGAGCTTAGTACATGAATATTAACACCCCCTCACAATTAGTGTTCTAGTCTAGTTTCGTCCCGTGTTGTCTTAGCTAGATGGGTTTCTGGGCATCCCCAACCCAAGAAACAGCTGTAAATATTTTTTTACTATAAGGTGGGTGTGCAACAATTCTATGGGAGTAGGAGAAAAAGGAAATAAATATTTGCACACCATGGACCCGGAAATAATTTTAAAAGAGTAAAATTTCGTTCATTTACTATGTTATCGAAAATTGACTGATTAGTCCATTTGTAAATAATTTTATTGACATTTCACTGAGTGTTCTTTGGATTAAGAACTTTCCACTTTTGCATCATAGTGGAAAGCACGTTAGTACTTCCGCAAAGTACAAAACGAAAAAATCTTGTTTTACGATATTTGCCATGATTTTACACTGAAAACATAATCAATGTTTTCCAACGAAAATTTTAGAAGTTTATGCTCTAATGTTTCCTTGAATATTATGGGAAATTAAAATATGAAGGAATACATCATATATTTATGTAGTAGTGCTGTGATTTTTTTTAAGTTTCATCTTCACCTTAACCTTTATAGACAGAATACAAGATGGAAAAGTTTGGCTTCCTTTCATTTCTTTTGTTCTGTTGGATTTCATCTTGTCAAGGTATTTATTATTTTATTAGATCATTAAGGAAGTGAATGTTTATTTTTGTCAAATAAAACTGTGGAATTTACTTAGAAATTTTAGCTTAATTTGACTTAAATACTTGTAGGTTTTAAGTCCTCATGTGTACACAATAACACTCAAAGTTGTCAGTTCTGCATTTAAAATAATCGAAAAGCAATATCTTGCAGTATTTTTATCTTTTAAATACATGCACATAATGGCTACTTAGCAAAGAAGTAAGAATATCTCATTTACAATAAGGTGATTGACATTTTTTGCAGTAAATAGTGATAGCACTTGTTCTTGCACAATAATACCAAATGTGTTTCACCACTATAAAATATGTTGCTCTATGCGGCTGTGGTGCAATTATGAATCTAAATTATAAATTATTAAATATTTATATGCCAGCTATTATTATTTATGAATTGATGCTCATACGAATGTGTGAACAATGTTTAAATGCCCATGACTTTACTCATACATCAATGCACTAAGTCTTCTGTTGATTAGAAATTGACCTCAATCATTTAGTTTGATATGATTTTTCCATTAAGTTTTCAAAGTTCATCACTTCTAGCAATTTTAGCTTCTTCTGTAGTATTGCTTTTTTTGCTTAGAAAGATCACATCCGACCTTGATGTACTAAAACTATTTTGCAATCATTCAGTTCAATTTTAAAATGAAAAAAAAAACTTGTTTGTCAATTTAAAAAACCTGTTTATCAGTTTCACAAGTTTTTTGTGAATCCTGGCACTGTAGGGTTTTCATGATTTTTCTCAAGTACATCATTATAGCTGGAAACTGGTTGTTGCCTTTTGATATCTGGTCAGAATAATGTTCGTCTTTTATCAGTTTCGATCAACAAGGTTCTTACTGATGCACGTAGAGGTACTTGTTACACTGTCCTCTGCTACTGACTCCTCAGCATTGAGCTTTACAGTTAAAACCTTTCTTTTCTTTTTTCCTCAATGTCTTTATCCATGTCCACCATGCCTCCCCGATATCTCCTGGTCTATGCTTTTCACTCTTGACTTTCATGAACGGATTTTATGAAAAAGATCCAGGATGCCACTTTTTCCTTGTATTGAACAAGTACACAAATGTCACACAGAGACGTCACATTCTTCTTGTTCATTTAAACTTCTTCCAGAATTAATAAGGCTTGATATTCTCTTTATATCCTATTGAAAAACAGGGTCTTGCAGAGATGCGTGGTGCAGAGTCTATTTCGCCATCACATATTCCATGTTTTACCTGGAGTTTAGTCTGTGTGTCATATTCACAATCAGGTTTGTATGCATGCCAAAAGACAATCGCTAAACTCAGCTGACGTTAATTGTGGCGTAGCTATGTCACATTTATAAAATATAAGTTATTCTAGCGCCGAAGGTCATTCTAGAGCTAGTTTGCAAAGTTACCTGGATATAGGAAGTTAATTATATAAGATTATATTACGCGTAATCTTGTCATCCGAATTTGCCGATGATTTTCTACAACTTATTTTTTTGTGCACTCTCCAGATTTTGGATATATTTTAAGCAATAAAATTATCTATATTCTGGCCAAGTTTAAAAAAATTCTACCTTGTAGTTTTTAAATTATACGCTAATTAAAGGAAATAAAAAGTACACTGTAACCTAAAGTTTAGTGTTTTGTTCAATTTTTTGACTTTTATACTTTCTTTGTAATGTTTAAGGACAGTAAAATAGTAATAAACAATTAAGTAGTTGGTAGTTTTTCAAATAATTTAGTAGTTTTTCTTCGGCCATTGTTTCCTGAAGACCATGTTATGTTATATGGATGGCACGAAGTATTTATAATATACGTTTCGCAACCGCTGTCCAGTTTGCCAGTCAGAAATCTCGACGTATGGTTGATTTTCTCAACACGTGCTTGCTCTTCTCATATGTCACTTATGATTCTCGACAAGTGGTTGGAATTCTCGATACACTTTTGTCACAGTTTGTATCGTCATAACTTCACGTACGTCATACATTGCGAAGCAGGAAATTGAGTCTCTGAAATTCTCACGGAACAAAACCAAATTACATGGGTATGTTACATTTTGCTGTATTTTTAGTGGAATAGCGTACTTGTCCTTGTTGTCTTGAATGAAAATATTGTTTTGCTGTAAAGTTTTGCGTGCGTAAATATTCATGGCATTCGACAGGCGGTATTGAAACGAATCTCTTATCGAGAATTCTAAGTTCAAACTAAAATTAGCCAATACTAAAATTGTGTTTGTGAAGGAAAATAAGTTTTAAGCCAAGGCTACACTATCGTCCATATCGACGAAAATCAGAACGAAAACTGCCGCAACGAAAATTTTGAACGAAAACTCGACGAAAATTTCGTTTTCGTGCATAGAAGAATTAAACTTTTGACCTTTTTCGTTTACGAAAACGCATACTATTGGCTAATAATATCAGACTTTGTACTCAAACATGGCGGAGTGGCAAGAGGTTTTGATAAATCAGGGCTAATAGACTTTCTAAGATGTGTGCCAACTTAGTGATGTGAGGTCTAATTAAATCCAAAATGTAGTCAAAATTTGTCGTCGTCATTCGCAAGTATTTCATGTGTCTATTTTCATTTTCATAGAATAGCAGAGCGCTTATATCAAGATTTCATGATTGAATATTGATCATGTAACATCATTTGTTAATAATATCATTGCCCTTCAGTGCAAAAAAGAATCTACTATCGATGTTAAACATAGATTCTTACAAGCATCCCGCTTGCCGATATGTATAAGTATAATCACAAGTATAATCACTGATGCTTGTAAGAATCTATGTTTAACATCGATATTAGATTCATTCTTTTCCAGTGGAAAGCGGGATGCTTTCACTGAAGGGCAATGATGTATTGTCTAACATTAACACCGGATTATGTTACTGATATTTAATATGGAATTCGAGCTTTGTCCATATGAACTGTTCAACATGCTTCCAAACAAAAAATGAGCAGGAATATTCAGTTGATTAATCTATGATCAACCTTTCACCTTTAACTCTGCTATACCGGTCACAAGCCGGACTTGTAGCGTATAAGGCTCTTTGCTTTTAGTAGACTTGTCTGGTTTACAAGGAAGAGAAGGTTAATTTCAAATGTTGTTAGATAAGGTCGTTATTGTTTGTAGTTGTTGGTTATAGCGCTGTGCTATCATTCTTTTTGTTTAATAACATTCCAACTATTTAACCTTGTGTCTATTTTCATTGTTCGGCTCTCGTAATTCTTTAATCAAGTTGTTAAATAGTCCAAGACGATCACGTCGTTTATTAATTGGATGAATCCAGTATCGACGTTTGCTGTTGCTTGTTTTCAACTTTAAAAGCAGTAACTAATCTTTTCTTTTAGAGATCGCCATTTTTCTAATCTGTCAAAATGCCGCTTGCTTATAGGCCAAAAAAGTTTTGGCTTTGCAAACATGCTTGTAATTTTTTGTCGTGTCTGGCATGCATTTCGTGCACGAATTTTCGTTTCGTTTTCGTTTTCGTCAAAATAGACGATAGTGTGGCCCAGGCTTTAGTCTGAATTCGAGAAAACCTTCAATAATATGGTGCACAAGTGTATACGTTAAAATACAACAGCTTTTTGTATTGATATGCTTTGATGAAGATTTCTTTACCTTAACGTCGCTTTAAACAAAACTTTTTAAGAATTTTGATGCATTTTGAATTTCATAATTTTAAAAGACCAAGACGAAACACTACATTAAATACTAAATGAGCATGTTGGGTTTCATTTCTTCTTTGATTTATGAAAATATTTCTGTACTTCCTGTTGTATTGTTTAGTTACCAAACTAATAAGGGCCTGTTTACATGGGAATAGTGTAACCATACTTGCAAGGCTATCTTTTTGTGTAGAGTGACTCTACCATTGACAGGTCTGTGTCAACCTTCTTTGCCATCTCGACAACTTCCTTGTAGATGGTGGATGGGCTCTAGTTTTATTGTTTGTCTCTGTAAAGTCATGTAGTGCATCTTGTGTATAATTTTATGCTCGCGAAGCAATTTATTTTCCCTGATATGCAAATATGTTGAGTAGATATGATGTGAACATAGCCCTACTGAAAGGGATTACCTTATCTCAAACATTTTTATGGTTTATGAAATAAAAATATCATAATCCAACTATTGTGCTAACCTTATCAATTTGATATGGAAACCCTAACCGTTTAGCACACATGTAAATGCTACATATAAAGCAATTTCACGTTGGGTAACTTGCTTGCTAATGTAACCCTTCTGGTAGGGTTACCCTACCTCCATGGGCCCAGTGTGCGAATTAGTTCAAAAAAACGATGTGCAATTTTTTTTTGACAAAAGTGTTTCTTTAGAGGCATAATCAAATCGATATTACATTAATTATTATATAGTGCTAATTGCTAAATTAATATTTTTAAACATGAACAAATTCATATGATTCACAACAGTGTTTTTCGTGTACCGTTTGAATAGAAGTTTTTAGCATGTCGTTTGAAAAAGTGATGTGCAATTGTTTTCATTTTAGCTAAAACGATGTGCAAATTGCACATTGCACACCGCTAATTTGCACACTGCATGGGCCTAACAATCACTATATTTTATCATGAATCATACTGTAAACATTTGCCCATAAGCCTTGAACTTATATAATTTTGTATGCCTTCTTTCTTGGGCTTGTATAGGAGGGTCTTGTTTATGTGGTGGGAATGCTTAGATTATATTGTATGGTAGTCATCAGCACAGTATACACAACACAGTCTTTATTGACAATAGTATGAAAATTCAACTGACAAAACATTAAAACATAGTAAAAGTATGCGTAAACAGTTTACAACTACATCAATTCTTATACTGTAATAAGTTTATGCTTGTGGGCTTTTCTGTGGACCTAGTTGAAAACTAAATTAACTTCCAGTTGCAGTAGTTACAAACAGTTAGTAAAAGGTAAAATTTCATTCAAAACTAAAGCATTTTGGTTGAAAAGAGAAGAATTTCTGTTCACTATTATTTAAGAATTACACAAAATTACTTTCCTGTACAGCTAACTGTCTTTTCCTAAAGTTCATTTTGCTAAAGCAATGTCAATCCTTAACTATAACCAATGTTTCTTTTGTAGTTTGTGTATCGTCTTTAATAGCATAGTTAAATGATTTAAATTTCAAGTTTATTCTGTTAAGAACATTAGGAAAGTTAGCCTGCAAATTTGGTTGTGCTATGTAAATTTCAGATCATCGTCATTGTTCATTTTTTTGAAATCTATTGTTTTTACAGCTAGTGAACTCATGAATAATTTGCATAGCAGAACTAAAGATATGTCACTGGTCACTTACGATAATTGTAATGTGAGATGTAAATGTATCCAATGATTCACAATCTTTAGGAAACAGTATTTATGTTCATCTTATGCTTTTCCAATCAAGTCAAGAAACAAAAATGTTAACCATGTTTGCACAGGCTTATGTAAACTGAAGAGACCTTTTGGAGAACTTAAGATCTGATCAGTGCAAAGCAGGTTTTGCTCTTGCTTGAGCGTTCTCACAAAGATCTCCAAGGTTTGCATAAGATTTTCAAGGTTTGCGTTTTAATTTTCCACAAAGTTCATTAGTGAATGGTTCACAAAATCTCTTTAATTGATTGAGGTTCAGCTAAGATCAGTTTACCCAGGCTAATGCAAACTCAGCCTTTGACCAATCAGCGCACACGTTTACTGTTTTTATTTTATAAAGCAAATTAAAACACAAAAAATTTATTGCAATGATAAAGATATTTCTGTGGTAGAATTAATGGAACATATTGCTACGCAAAATGTTGCCCATTTACGAGTAGAAATTACTATTTATTTTGATGCACCATGTTTAGTTCTGTGCACCGGAGATGGGCCGCAGCGCCGACTATTTTTACCAGTTCAGAATTGACAAGCCGCAGCTGAAAAACTGGAATTTTCACAGCACTAACCATGTTGACTCATGATTTTATTTTCAAAGATCATAAGCATTAAAATTCATCATTTAATTTTTTAGTGAAAATGGTAAAGACAAATTTAGTATTTTCGACTGTTACATTGATCACATTTCTTGGTCTTGCCAAAGGTATTTAACTTCAAATATCCATTTCTTTTTTTTACTTAAATGATTTTTGATGTATTTTTAGTTGTTGTAGTAGTAATATTTAATTAGTTTATTTTTTTATTCACAATTTTTGAATAGAACCTGAATTAAGAACATCAATTACTTTTGTTATGTTAGTGGAAGATGTATTTTTTCCCTAAACTATCTTTTTATCAGTCATAGATATTAGCTAAATTTCAATTTCAGGAACAATAATACCTCCACTTGATGGTCAAAAATTTGTATTTTTACCTGGATCTTCTCACAATATAACTTGGACATTAAATAATATTGGAGACTTTGAGTTTCGGAGTTGGACCTTTAGGACATTTGACACTCCTTCTTCTGCAGCTAAAGAAATTGTAAGAATAATTGATGATAAAGAACCAGTTTTTTTTCCATCAGTCCTTACGTCTTTGGGTTTAGATGTTGAAGTTTTTAAACCTGCAACTCTAATGTTAAAGAATGTTACTCAAAGTTACATCGGTGTTTATAAATTTTCTATCCATGCTCTTGATTCCTTTGGCTCATCTGTAAACGTGTCTATTGCAAGTAAGTTGTATTAATTATTTTAAACTTAGCAGCGGGATTATCCAAGCCTTTCATGTAATCTGAGTAGCTGTAGCATCGGGCGTAATTATACGATATATGACCGCAGTCTGGAATCCTATAGCTAAATACTTGAGCCGTTGAGCGAAGACAAATGCGAAGACTTGTTTTGTTTTGTTTTAATTTAAAAAGGAAATTATAGGGTATCTTTTGATTTGAATAATCTATGTTAAAGTGTTTGTATCACAGATTTTACTACATTTGAGTATAGGACAAAAAATTAGTTATTGATACCACTTTTGATTTTTGTGGTATAAAATTTGATATCAATTGATCAACTGGTAATATCACTATTATGTCTCGCCGAACAAAGAACAGTCTATCCACGCTTACAGATGCTGATGTTAAAAGCTTGATTCTGAAATTGCCCAAAACAGATGAAACCAAAGAAAAAGATATGTAATCAGAAAGATCTGCCAAAGAACGGAAACAAGACTAAAGAAAATGAAACGTGCACCGAACCTAATGATAAAGAACCAAAATTTCGCGCGCATTGTTAATGTCGAGACATTTGTTTTAACGTTAACCAGCACAGACAAAATTGTTTCAGAAAAGTTAGACATCGTCGATAATGCAAGTAAACTCGACCAAATCCTCAATCGTCTACGTATTTTAGAAGAAAAATCGAAAAACGATGATATCGAAAAAGCCGTCCTTCTAGTCGACAACGCGAAAATGGCAGCCGAGATTGACCATTTGAAATTTTTTATTAGCATGCTAAGAGAAGACAACGATCGAATCTTGTCTCTGCTTGTCAACAATCAAAATGCTTGGATAGATGTCAATCGTAAGAATCAACCCAAGACCAATCAACAAAAACCAACAACTAATCCTCTTCCTCTAGTAAATAGATTTGGAAATCTCCACGATATATCCCAACTGAATGCTTACCGATGTAAGTAGAAGGAAAAGTTTTTAAAATTAAAAATTGGCAATCCTGATGAAGACAACGAGCAAACTGACAAAAAAATTCAATCTCAACGAAATGCCTACCCCAATAAGCAGGAGAAAAGTTCACAAAATCAAAAATTGACACTCCTATTGACGACCAAGATATAACTGACCAAAAAACCCATAATTATTCAACTGCATCAACTGTTATCATTGGTGACTCAATGTTGAAACATATAGCTCCAAAAAAGATCTCCTGGGCAGCGAGATGGAAATCTACCTGCCACTCCTTCAGTGCTGCAAAAGTAAAGGACATCCAGCAAAAAGTCCTGGAGACCCCCCAAAATAAATATGGTACTATTATTATTCATGTTGGTACTAATGATCTTGTCAACAGTAGTGCTGATGAAGTTGCCACAGGTTTAGAAACCTTGATTGTAAGTTCGAAGAAGGTAGCAGGTAAAGTGGGAATTTCAAGTGTTGTAAAAAGATTTGATGGCAAGGTTTCCTTAAATAAAATGGCTTTTTATAATTCTCTCATCTACAAATTATGCTCTAAACATAATGTTTCTTTTATAAATAACGAAAATACTGGCAAAAATCACTTAAATGGCTCCAATCTCCACTTGAACAAATTGGGAGACCAATTTCTTGGTAATACTATTTATCGCCACCTTACTCTCCTAATGATTTCTTTTTACATTTTAAAAAATTAATCAAACAATTTGACGATCAAAATAAAGAATTATATATTCTTGGTGATCTTAACTGCGACATGCTTAAACATGAACCTGTTACACCAACAAAGAAACTTATATCTCTATATTAATTGTATCAACTCTCTCAACTCATTAATGAGGCCACGCGAGTAACACTGTCAACCTCCACTCTTATTGATCATGTAATAACTAATAGCCCAGACAATATTTCCCATTCTGGCGTCATACATAGTGGAATTTCTGACCATAACTTGATATTTGCGGTTAGGAAAATTAACTTCCCAAAAAAACAAAATGAGAATACATTTGAAATTAGAAACATTAAAAATTTCAATAGTGAAAAATTTATTGAAGATTTAACTTATCAGCATTTGGAGCACATATTTTATTTTGCTAATAATCCCAACGACATGTGGAATTTATGGAAAACGCTATTTAATGAAGTACTTAATAAACATGCTCCTGTGCAACATAAGAAAATCAAATCCAAAAATGTACCTAGGGTTACAAGGTACATTAAACAACTTATTATTGACAGAAATGCATTCAAGAGAAAAGCCATCATAAACAAGAATGAAACTGATTGGAATATGTTTAAGCAACTAAGGGATAAAGTTAACAACATAGAAGTGAGAAAAGCTAAACAAAATTATTATGCAAGGACAATTGCTGGTCTAAAGAACAAACCAAAAGAGACTTGGAAAACAATCAACCATCTATTGGGCAGTCAAAACAGACGGGCAATGTCAATGAGTTAAGTATAGATGGCATCAATCTGACAAACTCCGAGGATATTGCTGAGGGTTTCAATCTATATTTTCAAAAATTGGGTCTGAATTGACTGAAAAACTTGACTCATTAAATTGTAACTTTCAAGAGTTTATAAAAAATCCCAAATCGGTATTTTCAAATTTTCAACCTGTAACCAAAAGTAAACTATCAAATGTTATGTAGTCTTTCCTATAAAAATCTACTGGTATTGAAAAATTTCCATTAGCTGCGCCCATTATTGCTGACTCATTGACATTAGTATTTCACCATTCTATTACATCTTGTAACTTTCCTAATAATTGGAAAATTGCTAGACTTATTCCATTGTTCAAAAACGGCCAAAAGAATTTGCCAACCAACTACAGACCGATTTCTGTTTTACCGGCAGTCAGCAAAATTATGGAGAGCATTTTATACGACCAACTTTTTATGATGACTTAACGAAATTTCAATTACTAAGTGACTCCCAATTTGGCTTCCGAAAGCATCATTCAACAGCTACAGCCTTACTAGATTGTACCAATAGCTGGTATATAAATATTGACAAAATTATTCAACCTTGTTGTGTTCATTGACTTAAAAATGGCTTTCGACACTGTTGATCGTGAAATTTTACTAAATAAATTTAAACTGTATGGCATAAACGGAAATGCTTTATCTTTATTGACATCTTACTTGACAAACCGCACTCAGATATGTCAAATTAATGGAGCTGTTTCATCTAAACAGTTAGTCAAGTGCGGTGTACATCTAGTTTCTTTATTTGTAAGCACTTTTGTAAAATTGAATTGCAAACTCAACGGCCATTTTTATAGTAAACAAAGAAAGCAGGATGACTAATTTTCTGTTCTTTGAAAGTTCAGAGTTTCCTCCACTTTATCATGAAGGGCATTACTTGTGCATGGTTTATGAAGTAACGTAGCTATATATAAGCAGTTTGCCGAACGTATTTATTGGTGGCTTGCAACCATCTCCCTGGGAGTAAGAGAACAATGGAATGCTCGCCATGTTGGATGAAATTTACATTGTAGATAAGGAAAGTCCTTTGTTAAAATTATCCAGCATGGCGACTGTGAGGTAGCTTGCAATCCAAGAATTTACAAAATCACATATGCAGACTGGCCTATTAAGACACCCGGAAGTTTCCCGGGGCTCCACGCATTCATATGCTCTTTTGCGTTGGCCCTTTTCCGGAAAATAGTAAATAAAACACTGGTAAGTCTATTAAAGTACAACAGGATAAAGATAGTACTGCTACAATGACAAAATGCAAAAGCAATCAGATGTGTCCTTATCATCTATGTGTATTGGTAAACTTCCCAATTTCTATTGACATGCAGCTTTTGAGTAATCTACGCTATTTAAAATTGCTTACAATTTGTTAGCCTAAAAGCTTTTTTGCTACTTCTAGCATAGTATTTTACGTGAAAACATTTTGTTCAATGGTGCAAGCATATGATATGGTCTAGCCTAGTGCTGGGAACATCATGCAGTTCTCAAAGAACAAAATCCTCAAAATCTTATTTGTCGTTTTATTAGTTATGTAGTTCATTTGAGTTCTCGCCTTAACTTGTTATAGCCAAGTAGCTGTCAATAACTTATACTCGATATAGCAGCACATGCACTTTAGCCCCTCCCCCCCTACAAATGGCTACTTGCAACAAACAGGCACCCCTTTCTGAGTTTTCCTAGTAAGTCATGAACAGGTCAGTCCGCCCCTGCAATACCACAGCATTTGGGTAAAAAAGGTAGATAAAAAAAGACCAGGGGTGCAGCGTATATCGTTTGTGGGGACTTAAATATTCAAACGATGTGCAACCGTAAATGGTTAACGACATAGCGTGTGCCGGTGTTTTTTTCCATAATTCCATATGTCTTCAGCCCTGCTTCATGGTATTGTTTTAAGTTTTATCGGTTGTTTGGGCCGTCATGTGGCCCATGTTATTGGTGGATTATAAAAGTATGAATTAAATTGTGTATTAGCAACTCAGATAAGGAGAGCAGTCAAATGAAATTTTGCGATAATAGGGAGCTTTAGCAAAGACTACGAGTACGACTACGAGTACGATTTACGTCATTTTGGCGCAAAAACATTGTTGCGACAACAAAAACACGTAGCCGTCATCAATCTGAGTACGATGTTTTGTAAAAAATTCGTAGTCGCGACTACGATGTCTTTTTAAGCAAAGAAAGTAGGTATATTTCTTCATTCTGTGAGAAATTAGTTTACAGTACTATTTTCGAGCATCCAGGCTTGAATTTAGAACCTTTTTTGAGCGCAGATGTACATTAAAAATTGAAAATATGACCTGCAAAACTTTCATGTATTTCGTACGCAAAGTGAAAGGTAAACAAACAATAAAATAGTACAAATATATCGTACATAAAACTTAAAATAGTGAAGATTTTTCAGTTTAAAAAGTCCTATATTCTCGCCAAACCAGTATTACCGATTCATTGATATCATTAATAACAAATAGAGCCGTAGCTGCTTCGCAAACGTCGGTGTTTTACACAATAAAAGGCTCGTTCTGTTGTTTACAACTAAAGCAAAATTTTGAC